ACGTCTCAATGAACGTCTTCAAAAACTTCTTCAGGATTTTGCTGGCTACTAAATCCATTTGCTTGAATTAACAAGTTTCTTCATTTTCTTTGAATAAACTGGCTTGTTTCGTTGGAATCGTTACTTCCAGAATATCTTAGTCTTTTTTATTATCAGGTGTGTATATTTTCATGTAAAATAGAACTTTTTTTCTTTGAGGTGAACTGTAACTTATTTCCTTCAATTATTTCTTATGAAAGAAGAATTGAGGTGTATATTATAATTATTAATATATTATAATTAAAACTATTTTAAACTATTCGAAGAAGTGAAAAATTAATTTTTTAAACATAAATTATTTAACTGTAGTTATGTTAAAAATAACTACAGTATGACAAGTTTGACTTAAACGACAAGTTTGGGTTAAATGGTAAAAATTATAGTTCAATTATAATATTTTTTCGAACTATAATAGAAACTAATTAATTGCTTTTTTATATTCAAGTTTATATTAAAATTTAAATAATTAAAAGCAAGTCAAAAACTCAAATACACAACACAAAGAATAAGAAAGCAATGAAAAAAGTAAAGATTACTATTAACTATCACACAATCATGATCACAATCACCAACATTTTAATGTGTTAGCAAACAACGTAAAGTATAATTAAAATTTATTTGATTGTATAACCATAACATTTCAAATTCAAGTCAATTATGAATGCAGTCTGATTTCCCAGAATGTGTATTCAACGTTCTTGTTGTTCTCTATTAAACGAACATTAATTAAGAACAAACGAAAAAAACATAGGCCCGCTCTTTATCAAGTTGGTCCACGTTTTATTGGCCAAAATCAAGCGGAGATTCTTATAAATCACACTTTTGGGAGGTTTGGTAGTTTTTCCTTTCGTTGAATTCGTTTTTATGTGTATTATTATTTAGTTTATAGTTAAAAGCGGTATTCCCCCGTTGCGATAGGAGATACTGCTAATTTATTGTATTTCAATAAAAATAAAGTAACACAACGTTTCCGAATGAGGCGGTGTATGTTTGACATGTTTGAACTCAACGAGATAAACATGTTGGGACATACAAAACAATACTTAACATGTGTCGTGATTTTTATTTTTAAGATTCAACTGTACATTAAACTTTAATATAAATGTTAGTTTAAATATTATTCTATTTAACCATTTAATTCTTTTCTAGTTTAACCCACTGTTTACTATTGTTAATAGTTTTTAAACCATTAAAATGAACCATTTAAGTCAAACTATTCCATTTAAGGCAAACTTGTCTAACTGTAGCAAAAATATACATTTTATTAGTTCATTTTAAAAATATATTTTATTTAAACTTTTAAAAACTGTATTATTTGAATAATAAAATACCAACTATAATATACTAGACGACTACTTAAAAATAACAATAATAGTAAAACCTTAGTATTATTGTTGTGTAATATGATTGTGTCTTGATATAGTACATGAAACCGAAAACGGGGACGAAGAGATGGTTCAGAGAGAGGACTGCTCAGAGTCATGTGAGCTTACCGAAGAGATGGGCGTTACATAATTGAATTCTTATTTTGATTGTGTCTTGATATATTAAAAATAAAACCACAGAAATATTTTTTCTTTATTGAGACATTTTAAATATCGAAACATGACTGTAATTGATTACTTGGTAACCTCCAATTGCCAAATAATAAAGTTATAAAAAAAGCACTTTTTATCACAAAAATTACAATGCAATAAGGTAATGACTAATGTATAATTTCATTAACCAATTATAAATAAAATAAATATATAATGAATTTATTATGTATAAAAATTGTATAACGAGTATATAAAGTTAAGTAGAGGGCGAATGCGACAAGGCCGTAGCCAAGCACATTCTTGTCTAGTCGTGTCTTTGGCAAGCCTCAACACGACTAAACCCCAGCGCAAAAATTGTTTAATATTTGCACCTCCGTAGAGGTGAGCAAGATATTAAGCTTGCTAGAACAGATACTACACTTGATCAAAGCCATAAAGGCCGAGAAGGATTGAATGAAATTCACCGTTCTTTATATACGCGCTGTGACGTGGCAAGTTTAATTATTTATAATTACTTATTATTATGTATAGTTCACTAAAACTCAATGACTGAATTATACTTGATAGATTAAAAACCATTTATTAAGATTTTTTTGGGGGAGCTTATTTATTAATAAATTAATTAATTCATAATTAAAAAATTAATGAATTAACTCGCCGACGTACCTAATCCCCAACAAACCAATACTGTTAAAAAGAGCAGTGTTTTTGTTTTTTTGAAAAAAAAATATTATACAGTGTAGTTCAATTATAGTAAAATGAAAATGGAATAACGAGTTCAAATCGTGAACTAAAAAACAAATAAAATGTGAAAAAAGTGAAAAAAAATATAAAATTTCATGACAAAAAGTAAAAAATGGCAAAATAAGAATAGTGGTAAAATGAATAACATTTATTCTAAAACAGATAAATATATTTTTTATACATAAAACAATAAAAAACAATTGGTTTTGAGCTGAAAATGAAATACAAATTTCAAAAGTAACATGAACACATCAGTGATAATTAAAAAACACACAAAATATATGTACATAATAGTCTTCATAAAAAATAAAAATTTTTCAAAAAAATCCATTATATTAACTGTGTGTTTTTTCAGACAGTACGATGTAGCAAGATTTTTGACTGTTTTTTCTGTCTATAATATATTTTTATCATCTTTTGGTATTTACCATATTGTGAGTAATCTTTTGAAGAGTTTTTATCGAAAGAAATTAAAATATAACAAGCAATCATTAAAAACAGTTTTTAGTGTCAAATATATTATTGTTTTAAAAACATTTTCCCTCCATTACATAAAATCCACATGTTTTTTATATTGTTGTCTGACTTTTTGTCAAATATGTGGACTGTTTAACCAATTGTTTGTTAATGACTTTTGACAATTTGATGTATACAGTTACATATTTTAATAATCTATTGAAAAGAGTGTTTAAAATGAATAAGGTAAACCATAACTATGTTTATAATTTTTCAAACAACAAAAAATCAAACTTCTTTGTTTATCAATGCTATTTTATTGATTTATTTGGTGTATATTTTTAATTTTTGTTGTGTTTTACATTATGAGTAATTTATCTTTTTATTGTCAATTAAAAAATTTAAATTATTATTATTCTTTATATTTGGGTTGCTTGATAATTAATTGCAGAAACATCACTGTTTGTAAAAGCGATGCATAATAGATTTGTTTTATTGTTATATTATTTTACAACTATTTCGACTCATCATTTTCACTATAACACAAAAGCATGTTACTCAATGTTAATAATTACCGCTATTATCAATTTGCGTCATTCAGTGAAAATAATTAATTATGTTTTTTCTTATTACGATTATTATAATTTATTTGTTTTGTCAAACAAGAAATGGCAATTTTCACATTGGTTATGTGTACTTTTATCATTGTCTTTAGATTTTATGAATAATTTTATCAGAGTTGGCATATAATAGTCTATCTCGATAAGATTAACTATATTTTATTATGAACAACCATTTTTATTAGTCATTGTTTGTATTTTTATATTTTTAAAATTTATATAACTTTCGAGCAAAACACAAATTCAATTTAGATATTGAAACACCTTTTTGAAATTAAATACAGAAATTGAATATTTAAAAACAATAAGTTATTACCATAATCAATCTCGGTTGATTTTACACATTGACACTTTCACATAGAGATTGATTCAATTCATGGGTGAATTGTATGTGTGACAAATTTTAAACATTTGCTGCGTTTTGTGGGTTTCTTTAATATATTTAAAAGTCCAAATTTGTTGTTATAAATAAATTGTTTCAAAATGCTACATTCAAGTTTTTTATTGTTGAATTGTGTTGTACTTATTAAATAATAAATCAAATGATTAATTTGATAACTTTTAAATTCGCTTTCTTTTAAACTTACTAAATCATCATTTTCAATTTTAAAAACAAACATCAAGTGGTCGCAATTGACTGTTTATGGGGTAATACAACCACAACAACGAAACCCCGTTATGTATCCGAAACGTCATATTTATTAACATAAGTATCAAAAATTCAACCATTGTTTGAGTTTACAAATAATTTTAATTATTTTTTTTATGTTTTTAATTGATGTTTTAGAAATGATACAAAAAGTTTTTTTCAACTTGTAACAATAAAAAGTATATTTTACTATAATTTGCTAAAGCCGACTTTTTCCACCAACTCTTTATTATTTTGGTTGTAATTTTTGTTCTGTTTTGCTTTCAAATTTTTATATAAAAAATAAATGCACAAAACGATTTTTTGGTATAAAAAATAAATATAATATTATTATGATAATTTTATATTATTTGTTTTTATCTATTTTTTCAGGAAAATCACCTAATAATATTTCAAAATTATTTAAACAGTTTTGGGACAATTTTTTGAAAAACTGTTAAAAAGAGCAGTATTGGGTTGTTGGCGAGTTAAATAAAATAATTTTAAACTAAAATAATAATAACAAAATTGGTTGTAATAAAATTAGACATAAGTGATTAAAACATATGTTCACCAATAAAAATAGTCCTCTTGACTGCTGTCTGATTCAAAAACCAAAGGCGGGAAGTCTTCTATAAAATCTCTCAATTTTCGGAATTGATTGAGCAGCTTTGTACACATTTTTGGTGTTTTTTTGCAATTAAGAATTGCAAAAAGTATCAGTTGAATAAAATCAGTTGATGTTGAAGAAATCACATAATTTTGTTCTTTGATGTAGTCTATGATGTATGTTGCAGCCATTGACGCAACACGCTTTGTTGTGTGATATGCTGGATCAGAATCGCCACAGAACCCCTCAATTGAACATAGAGCAAAATCGATGTATTTGATTATAACACAACTCTTGTCCATCTTGTTAAGGAGGTGATAGTAATGTGTTGAAAGTTCATCATCATTATCTTTTAAAAACTTGGCAACATCTTCGACAGCCAAATAAAGTATGTTGAGACCAAGGGCGCTGAATGGTGGAATTTCAAGTGTTGGGTCAAGCCCAACTGAAATGAGTTTTGAAAACTCGGATAACAACTTGTCAACATTTTCAGGTGTCACATCATTCAACGCCTGAAGACTTTGAGTTGCGTCTTCTTCTGAAGTGTAATTAGTTGGTGAGTCTCTCTTGAGTTGTGGTGGTACTTTTGCTTCTTCTTCAGTTTCAACGGAAACACGGTTGGAAGACGGGAGAGAATCGACAAAAAACACTGGCTGAGTTGTGACATCGTTAAATTGAATGGTAGGTTTTGTTGTCATCTTTTAGATTATTGAGTTAAGAATAGTTAATTTTTTAATTTTAATATTTAATTTAATACTAATAATTAAAAAATTAAGGAAAAAAACAATCGAACTTCTTTTGAGTTTTACATCTAACTGATTTTTAATTCTTAAAAAACACTTTATTATATGATGATGATACAATTGATAACAATTTGTTGTTATTATATATTAATAATACATTAAATTAATAATATAATATTGTTAATATGTCAAAGTTATTAAGAAAAAAAAAATAGAAAAAAAATTCCAATAATATTTTTAGAAAATAGAATCATAAAATTATAAAATATAAAAATTATATAGATTTAGCTTAAATAATACAAAAAATTCTTTTGATGTTAAACTGATTTAGAATATCAGTTTATTTTTTTTAAATTGAATAATTATGAAATATATATAAAAACAATAAAAACACGATTTAACGTATTGATGTCAATACCAGAGACAACGGATGTGTTATGTTTATTATACAATAAGACATTTGTGTCTAAAACTCCCAACTTAAACAGTGTTTTAAAGTTTTTAAGAGAAGCAACATCATTCCAAAAAAACATAAAAATGAAGAATTTTATTATGCATTTAATTAAACATTGTTTGATTTTGACTGAAGACATGGAAGTTGGTGGACATCTTTATTTCTGGTTGTTACCAAGTGATTCTTATAAAGCTAAAACAACAAAAGGATATTATGATCTTTTGAAATTGATGTTTAAAATAGGACAAAAAATAAATTCAATTGAAATTTTAAGAAGAAAATGTCATGTTAGTAGTGAAGAAGTAATACTTCAAGAGATCATCACAACTATTCAAATCATTGCAAAATGTGCTGGTTTCCCAAAGGATTATAAATACCAAAATGAAAAAGATGTTTTTCAAGACTTTAAGGAAGATGAATGTGATTTGGCATATGTTTTACGGGAATTAAGAAATACTACAGAGATGTGTGAATTTGTGAGTGAGTGGCTCTCAAACACTCCAAAACAAATTCAAATAGATTTTCAAAAAAAAATTTTTGTTGAAAAGAAATTTTTTGAAGTTATACATCACAAATTACCACCAGATGTATTTACTTGTTTTGAATTATGTGTAAGTTGTATAATTGAACACATGTTTAAAAAATACGATGACATCACACTTTTCGAATTTCAAACAAATGAAAATGACACTTTTCCAACAGAAACAACAATAATGCGACATTTTAAAAACTCAGAATATTTGGAATTTGTAAAAGAAACAATCAGAGATTGTGATATACCCTTTGAAATGCAAAGGGTTGTCAAAAATCCAGAAAAACTTAGAGGAACAAAGAGTTGTAAGCAATTATGGACTAAGTTTGGATTTGGGTGTGAAAATGGAAAATGTTTTTTAAAGACGCTATTTATAGACACCAAGTTTATCGATCCAACATCAGTTTGTGTTGTTTAATAACATTCATTGTTTTTGTAATTGCCGTTATCGATTATTTGAAATTAAAGTGACACACAGAAAAAAACAGCAAAAAACACAAATACTCCAACAAGTAAAATGAAAAGAAAAAATTATTACGTACCAGCAAAAGAAGAATCTCTTTATAAAATACACCAACAAAGCTCAACAATTACATGCATTGAGTGTGTTCAACTGAGCATCATAAATACCACAGAAACAACATCTGATGACAGAACGGAGCTGACTAAAATTGAGTCACCAAAAATAGACAAACATTGTCAATGTGTTCATGTTCAAAAAGAGTACAACCCATCAACACCACTCCCATCAACAAAAATCGAAGTTGAAAATGCACCAAAAGAAAATGTGTTACCGAGCTTTTTATCTACAGGATGTTCAACAGACGAAAAAAAGGAAGCAAAAACAACACGATTGTTATAAACGTCTTCACCTAGAAAGTGTCACATCTATGAATCACATTTTGAAGGCGATGAATAATACTAAGTAATCTTATTTATTTTAACCTTATGAAGTGAAAACCGGATAATTTATATCCTTGATTTTTTGACTTAAAATAAGTCACTTTTTTTATTTTTGTATTTGAACTAAAAAGATCTTAAATTAAAAACGGCGTGTCACAAACCAATTTAAATAATGAAAAATTGATAAAAATCGAAGCGCTCTCATGAAAATTTATGTGTATGTCTCGTAACAGCAAGTATTGACTATTTTGAACACATGGAAAACAGGAAACATGGGTCTGTAAAGACCAGTAGTTTGCGCAAAAACTAATCGATTTCGTGTTTTGAATTTATTTTTAATTGTTCTAAAAATAAATTATGATCTAGATAAATCTTATCCAGATTTCACCTTCCCACAAAAAAAGTTGATTCAGTTGACTTGCTAAGGTTAATAAATAAAATGTTATTTTATTTATTAAAAAAATTGACAATAACGATAAATAATATATTTAATTACAGATAGAAGAATTATTGGTTGTCATAGAAAAAGTGGTTGTCATGAAAATAATGTTATTAAAAGCAAAAAAAAAATCGATTTTTTTTCAAAAATTTTCCCAGTGTACTGAGTAAGTCAATTATCAAATGAAATAATAAATATTAACTAATTTGTTTTATGTTTTTATAAAGTATTAAACAAATGTTTATAATGTTAATATTTAAAACTTTTAACAATAATAAAAATTATGTATTTGGAAAAGACTTATTAAATGAAGTATATTTGTTTTTTTTGGTGAACCTTACTACAGTAGGAGATAAAGACAATGAAAACAATAATCAGCACAAAACGTTTGGTTAATTTGAACACAAACAACAGTTTTCATAACAAAATGTCATATTTGTAATATATGTCATATTACATATTGTTTATTAATGAATGTCTATTGATTAATTATTCGTTTTCAACGTTATTAATATACAAACCTGATAATCGTGATTTTTGCTTGTTTGATTTACACATCCCCAACTTATTCATAATAAATTGCACATCCCCCACATCAATTCATTTTATATCGAGACGACAAGGTGCAGTCAATTTTGATTTTGAAGATGAGTAAAATATTTTTGTGCTTTTTCTGTTTTTTATATAAAAATAGTCTTTTTTATTTTTTTCATCCTTTTGACAACCACTTTCTGAAAAATCAATCCAAATCACCACTGCTTTCCCGTAATTTTGCTTGTTAAACAACTAACAATTTATAATTATTAAAAATAAATTAATAAAAATACTTTTTTATACTCTTGACAACTACTTTTTCTATGACAACCACTTTTTCTTGCATCTGTAATAATTTAAAAGACATCACGTTCACATTCTGTTTTTATATAAAAATAGTCTTTTTTAATTTGTTCATCCTTTTGACAACCACTTTCTGAAAAATAAATCGAAACAACTACAGATTTACCATAAAATTACTTGTTAAACAACTAACAATTTATAATTATTAAAAATAAATATATAAAAATACTTTTTTTTACTCATGACAACCACTTTTTCTATGACAACTACAGCAGGGTCGGCTAAGATCCAGTTTTTAAACAACTTCGTGGCATCTCTAATACGTGTCAGTTCATTTTTAGTTTTAGCATATTGTCAACAAAAAATTCTTAAAGTTTTTTAGAGTTAAAATGTTTTTAAAAATAAATAAAACTATAGTTAACGATTTAAACAAAATTTCTGTATTGTTTAAATCATCATTTCAATGTGTTATAATCCAGTTTTAAAGAACGACAATTGAACAGTAAAAAACATATGACATTATCGGATGCAGAGTTTTTAAAATTAAATAACAATATTCACTCATTATAATTGTAATATACACAGAAGATACTTACAACCAATAAAAATTATTAGAAATCATTTTAGTAATTTTAACATAAAATTTTTATTTAAACAATTAATATACCTTTTCAACATACACATTAATATTAATTGTTAATGTATATATATGTATATTTGTCAGTTTAACAGAGGTTTTGAAAAGTTCATTCATTTTCTTTTTAAATTAAAGTATTAATTAAACAATTAAATAGAAGTAATTTTATTATCTTTTCAATAATACAAAACAGACAATGTATTATTTTTCGAATGGAGTAAACCATATTACTTTCAAAAAAATGTAAAACTTATCTTTAGTTAATTTTCTTGATAAAAACGATTATTCAAATTATAATAATAATCAGTCAAAATAATAATTATCACCCAAATAAAAAACATATATCAGAGCAATTTAAAATAAGTTTTATTTACATGTATAATTTACAATTGAAAGGTTTTAACATACAATTATATTAACACAAAGATATATGTATATTGTTGTATTTTGAAATAATTTAAAAACTAAATCTTGTTTGATATAAATTATCGTTTTATATTTTTTTATTTTATCATATGGTATAAATAATTGTGTTTTGTCATTTTCTTTTTGTTTTTCAAAAATGATAATGTTATTTACCATTTTATTGTTTTTTAAGTTTTTTTCCAATAACATGATCGTTTGGCCGACCCTGACTACAGTATAATTTGGGTTTAATTACAGTCCGGGTTTAATTAAATAATCGGGTTTAATTCATTTGAAATAATTAAACCCGAAGTAAGATAAAATAATAAAAACAACACTTTTGAGTTTTAATATCATAGTCTTTTTTTTTTGTTTAAATTTATTTAAAATAATTGGGTTTCACCTAAATTAATCACAATATTTGTTTTTGAATAAAAATGCATTATTTTTGTTTCTGGAATTATTTTTCGGTACTATAATATTATAGATTACTTATTATAAAATAATAATTAAATAAAAACGAACAATATAAACTCGAGTTTTTATTCGTTTTTATTTATTTAAACAGACTTGTTTTACCACCACCTTAACAAAGTATTTGCCGCGAGTGTTTTTTGAATGAAGTCCATATTTAAGCCACTGTTTGTGCGTCCCCATGTCACCCACTTTCATTCTCCGTACTGTTTGGACGCGGATAGTTCTCTTTTCAAACGGGGCGTTCATTGGGATCCGCGCCAAGGAGGACATTGAAAGTGTGTGAAATGCACAAACAGACCGCCTGTGCCTTCTTTTTGATTATCGTCTCACTTGGTTTCCACTGTTTCGAGGTGAATTATCAACACATTTTTAATTCGGGAACCAGACCAAATATTATCCCAAGCTCCCATTTACTAAAATTTTAATTAAAATATTATATTAAATAGTAAAAAATAACTTAATTTTTAGAGGATGTGAAAAAGCATTTACCATCATCATTTGTTTTTGATTGAATCAGATAATTATTAAATAATTATAACTATGAAACTATCGAAAGTTAATTCCAACAATTATTTTTGTTTTAAAAATCATTTCAAATAATTTTCTTGAAAAAAGTGGAATTAAACCCGATAGTTCCAAAATATTTTAAGTGAATTAAACTCGGATTATACTGTATTGTGAGAAAAACATTGAAATTTGAAAACAACACAACCATATGGTAAAACTATTAACAATTATGCTAAAAATACCCAAATGAATACTCTAGGATGTGAGTATTCA